GCTTTACATGTTGTAATTGGTTATTTTGCATTTTAATCAAAACCCATAGTAATAAGACTTAATAATAAATATGTAGGTTTTTGAGGAGTCGAGCCCTCTGCCTACCCTCGTCTGAATATCGAGTTTGTCGTCTGTTTCGACTAATTAGGTGAGTTTTATTTGAAATTTGCCATGCAATAAATTGTTGCCTTACGTGTGGTATGATTAATGTATGCATGCGAACCATGTAGCCTTCGATGTGAGTTGTAACGATTGTTGAATGGTTGTCCCCGTATTATGAAATGAAACCCGAGGGTTTTACTCCTACTGACTGGGCATCAATTGAAGCCTGTGCGGCGATTCGGTGTATAAGCCTGGGCGAAGGCATAGGCATAGTTCCCGAGGGGAATTCGATGTATGACCTATGCGAGGGCCTTCGATACATTTACTAGCAGTAGTCTATTGGTATACATGTGCACATGAGTCTGAACACTGTGAATTTATGATGAAATTTTGGATAATCAATTGATTCATATACATGTTGCGATCGTACCTGTTGATTTTATGATTATCGTTTATTACATAGTGGTGAGCACCACGATTTTCCATATGTGCTCACTCCCACCTGAAATTAACATTTCAGATTGAGCAGGGCAGGCATGACGGCGGAGAGAAGCGAGTGGTGGTCGATCTATATATGACCAGACTTTTGTTTATTGCTTCCGCTATTGGTGAACTGAATTTATGAAACTATGGTATTTTATGATTATGGAGAATAATTTTGGGCAGATGCCCTGTAAACACTGGGATGATTGGAAAACCCGGTTNTGTGTGACTTCTGATTTTATGAATCCCGTTTTGGGAGTTTGATATTTGATGATTGATGATTTATGTTATGAGTCGATTTTATGACATGAAAATGATTTTAAATTGAAAGAGTAACGTCTACAAAGTTTCTATTGAATTTTGAAAAGAAAAATTTAAGTTGATTTTTCTGAAAGTCCGAAATTTTTTTAGAATCAAATTGGGGCGTTACAGTTAAGTACCTTATCTATTTTAAGCTCTGTTCTGATGTGTATATCAGAGCCTAAGTTCAGCTTTCAAAGTTTTAGATTGTTGTATGATACTTGAGAAAGGAGAAGGGAAGAAAGTTCATGCGTACAAGTTGTGTACGTCTTATTTGAATGATTTACGTGTTGTACCTTAGGTGTATCATAATTTTTGTTAATGTGTTTAGATGCTGCTGTGCCGGGTCAAATTTAGAGGCTAAGATTCAGTGTTTGTGGCCTTAACTTGTCATCTAAATATTGATAGAGTTGGCCTATGTTAGTTAAAGAGAGGGAACTAAGAATAGCACATTTAGTTGTTATTTTTGGGTCGTATGTTTATGTTTTAGTTGAGGATTTTCATGAGTTTTTGAGCATGTCGTAATGTAACACCCCGTTTAATTTTGAAGAATTTACCGAATTTATTTGATAAAAATCAGAGTTATATTTTTTTTTTAAATCCAAGTTAAAACATTTATCGAGAAACGGGCGCTACTTACTAACTACAACAATTAAACACATCCAAACAATCAGTTCAATGAACCTATGCATGCTCGAGCTATCAAAATAACAATCCCCATAATCATTTTTTTAAAATCATTCCCAAACGTCTAGCATGAATCAAGGTTCAAACGAAACTCAAACATAGTTCTAAGGCAAATAAATAAATAATCCAAAGTATTTGAAAGCAAATAAAATAAGTAACAAGTTCATGCGGAAGCGTAAGATATCATCAAACAGTGACCACCATCTCGCTCGTCCTACGCCACCGCCTCCAGCTCGTCTCAACCTAAAACAAAGGAAGAGAGAAAACAACAAAGAAAATAATGGGGGTGAGCATAACCAACAAGCTCACCTTTATCGCACAGTATATCTCGCATAACATTTTAAACCATCATAACCATAGTATTCAGTATGCATAGAATCCAATAGTCTAACTCCCTACTTGGCCCTATCGCAACCTCCTAGGTACATACAACAACCTTCCGATCACACACGGTAAGGAAGTAACTGGAAACCTTCCCATCACCGAATCGCTACGGGCCTGGGATCCTTTCCAGGATACAGTAGAGATGTTTTTCCCATTCACGAATATCATACGGACCTGGGCGTCACCTCTCCAAATCTACGGGCCGATGACCTCTCACTGTTTATGCATTCCTCAAAGGCACTAACATACGGGACACTTAGACTAGGGTTCTCACGCATATATCATTTTTCAAAACAAAGCATTTATACGAAATATTAAGTGCGATAAATATGGAATACATCATAAATGTACCCACCTGATAGCAGCTACAGTTCAAATCACAAATCTCGAGACGAGGCGAGGTTCAACACCTCTCGACACCTACATTAAGTCCAGATACTAAAGTCATCACTTTAATCTAGACCTATGTAGCAAATTCACAAGTTGACTTAGCCGAACTCGGTTCGACCAAGTGGTTCGTGAAGTTCTGTGGATATGGGAACACTAGGACTTAGACTCGATCAAACCACATATTCGAGTTCACACAAAAGCAAGTGAAAGACAACAAACGAGCCACAAGCAAAACACATGGCACATTTGGTCATCAACACTTAACACATTTCAACATAGAAAAACAATTTTCCAAATTCACACTTGAATTAGAAGGCATATCAAATCAATGAGTTAGGTTCTGAAACTCTAACATAAATTTCACATCCCAGTTCTAAGTAAGATCACCCAATTTCAGCTTCAAACTCCTTATGCATAATTTTATAAAATTCAAACAAGTTTTTAAACAAAAACGAGTTTAAATTAAAAGCACATGATAATGGACGATTCATGCTATGAAATTTTTATCTAAAATACTACAGCATATGAATAGCATCACATAAATTTTCCAGCCTTCAACACTCAGGATAACAATTTTATAAAATTAAACCACAATCAGCCAAATATCACAATTATATCAGAATTGATCACAACTGAACTCCAAAAATTCTAAACTTTTTACAGCATACTAAAAGTCATATAATCAGCATCACCACAAATGTTTAGAATTTTTCAACTTCAGAATAATTTATCATAATTAAAATAAATTCGGGCAGAATCACAAAATAATTTGTTAACCTTATTAAACATACTTCAAAAATTCTAAAAATTTAACACCACATATAAAAATCTTAGAGGCATGACATAATCAAATTTCAGCTCATTTGGTTCACGAATGAATTTATTATGCATTTAACACTATTCTGATCAGATTTCATTATAATTATTAAAAATAGCTACATGTTTCTAAACATCACGAAATATTTACACAAGGCTAGTATTGAACAGAGAACATCACCCTAAAAATTTCAAGTCGTTTGGAGCAGCGAGCTATTTTTGAAAATTCAAATACCAAAACAGCGACAATAAAGCTCGAATATTTTGACAATTAATTCGAAACACGAAAATTCTCGTCCGAGGCCTTCTCATAAGACCAAAGGCTCGATATTGTTCCAATATCCACCGACTTACACGACTTTCGGGATCTCGTTCGATTCTTGAGAAAATCGAAGAGGTCCCGAACACATATACGGCACATAAAATCATAACTCTTACATAAAATCACAACAGACACATTAACGCACAATATTCTCCTCTCGCAAATCACACATATACGAAAATAACATAAACTATTAAACGAGACGAAATCGACTAGGTACCGTTCTCGGGAAAGAGCTCGGAAAATGGAACGAAAAAGAGGCGAACTCGCGGGCTAAAGCTCGACGGCAAGCATCGTCTCGCGAGGGAAGGGCTGTTCGATCTTCGACGGGTTGTTCATGCTCACGAGATGCACGAGGGAGGTCGCTGGAATTTGTACGAGAGGGGGAGGAGGAACTCCCGGCGTCGGCCTCGGACACGAGAAGGAAGGGCTGCTGCTTGTCCACCGTGGACAGAGGCCTGCTTGTTGGTCGCAAGTCGAGGACGTGGCTGGAAGCCGGACGTCTCAGCCATTGCCGAAGGGCGGGGCTGAACAGAACTCGGTCGCCCAGAGCTCAAAATCGTTGGGATAATGGCCGGGGCTCGCGAACAGTCGCGGCCCGACGGGAATCGAGGCCCGAAGTTACTGGAGGCCTGGCCTCGTCAAACGTTGGTCCCGTTGCCGGTCGGAGGACGAAACTCGCCTCGCTGGAATCGCTCGACGTCGCTGGGTAAAGCTCGTTCTCGAAACTCGCTCAGTCGCTGCGATGGACGGAATATTGCTGGCTCGGTTACTGTCTTGGCGAGGCGAACGGTGGCTGCAGGCTCGCTGATTGAACGCCGGTGGGACCGCTCTCTGTGAAGGCCGGGGTGCGGGAACACCGACGATAGGGAGGTCTCCTCGACTGGGTGCGGCTGAGAGAGAAAGAGAGGCTCGTTTGCTGCTACTCGCCGGAAACCTAGTGCTTCGCGCCGGCGGGATTTAGGTGCTAGAAGAAGGGCGATTTTTGATCTGATTTTTGCCGAGGGAGATGAGAGAGCAGATGGCTGCGTGATTTGGTATTCTGAGGAGAGGCAAAATAGATACACGTATATATGTATAGGTCTTGCTAAGTATAAATTATTGTTGACCAAGAAAAACACACACCTCTCACACGTGGAAAGAAAAAGAGAAGAGAAAATTACCTACTGTACTATTCCTTAACAAAATAATAGCAAAAATACGATTACTAAATCTTTTTATCAATATTACGTACATGTCAAACAATTATAATTAATCAAGGAATGCAGGTAGTTATTTTAGGTCCTCATTAACCGTTAATCGGGTCATTATATTTAATTAATGATATACACTCAATAAATCTCCTGCATGATTTTCGGATAACGTGCAATATACCAACTTATGCACTCAAAAAAAGAAAAGAAATAATCACTTCTCTCTGCATACATCGGTTTTAGTGTGTAGAGTAAATCTCTCACCAAAAAAAATTATTCTCTCATCTCTCATCACCATCTCTCATCTCCCATCTCTCTGAAAAAAAAATCCATCTCTGCAAAATAATCAATAATGGCAAAGCGACCCAAAATTGAGGCAAACAATGAAGAAGAAGCAAGGATTACTCACTCCAGCTCGTCACAAAACTCAATTTCAACATCCCGTGCGCAAGGTTGTTAAAAAAAAGCTACAATTTCAGAAAATGGATACTCCAAGCCGTTCCAAAAGACCTAACCCGAAGATCGTCAAGGTTGAGTCGAACGACAACGATGATTTTGTGGATGAACATAAAATCAAAGAAAAAGAAAACAAGGTGCTCGAACACACCAAAAAGAAGAAGGTGCTTGACGGTCCTCCTCTCTATTATAGTGATTAGATGTGTTGCAATAATTCATACTTGTTTGTTAATTGTGGAATTCATCTTGTTTGGATTTTGGGAATGTTTTTGTGCCTGTGAAGTCATTTGTCAGGGAAGTTTTTGTTGGATTTTTGTTGGTACATTGGCATGATGTTTTGTTGCATTTTTTGTTTTTTTTTCTTTCTCCCTTTTTTCTGGTGAACTTCAGTGAAGGAATATTGGTTCTATTGCTTTTGGATATTTGATTTGCACGAGGTTAACCTATCAAAATACACTTTTCGGACCATTTATTCCATCCTGTATTGTAATTTTATCTTAAGTTTTTAAGAGACTTACACACACATACTTTAAGTAATGTGTTTACCTAAAGTATATTATACCGGGTTGTAAACACAAAATAGAGACATACGCGTTTAACTAATGTATATTACACCGTGTAGTAAACATCCGGGTAGATAAGCACACATACCGTTCATTGTACATATATACATTTATATACACACAAGATAAAAAACATATAAACATATTATTTATTCTGCAACATTCTACTAAAAGTAAGCAATAAGTAAACAACCATTAAGGAAAGATTATATAACTTCAACAATATCATTACAATATAAAATGTAACAGAAAGTTATATATAAAGGTACGTAAACAGAATAGCCGAACATCCACAAGTAAATTTGGGCATCACGCTCAGAAGAAGCTAAGTTTATATACATAAACGGTATATAAACGGTACATAAATAGAATAGCCGAACATCCACTGGTCCAGGTCGCGCGACCACCGGCCTCCGCCAGCCTCCATTAGCCCAAGCCCAGGGATGCAACGAGTTTCTTCAGTCGTGTCGCCGTAATCAGCCATGAATCTGAGACGGTAAATTTAGGCATCACGCTAACAAGAAGCTAACTGTATATACATAAACGGTATATAAACAGTACATAAACAGAATAGCCGAACGTCCATCGGTCCAAGTCGTGCGACCACCGGCCTCCGCCAGCCTCCATTAGCCCAAGCCCAGGGACGCAACCACTCGCTTATGAGGTTCTTGAGTCGAATGTTTAACAAATTATATCCTAAAGGATATGTTTGCTAATGTATAAACAACAATATATATTGCGTATATATTACGTATATCTTGAAACATGATACATACTTTTGTAAACTGAAGTATATTACTTGTATTTGTTTACTTATCCCCGTCATTTTTATATACAGAACATAAACGTTAAATAAACAAAAAAAAGTCAGATCACACATAAGCATAATAAGTTATACTGAACATAAACGGTAGATAAACAAAATATTATCACACACAAGCCATTGACGAATATATTGATTTTATCTGACAAAGATTTGCTTTCTCAAACCAAACATCAAATCAGTGTCCACGCTTTAATTGAAGCAGTAAGACACATGAACACTTTTATCTCTGAACGTTTCGCCTACCACAATTTTAGTATTAATGCATCCATCGACCACAACTCCAACTGTTCTGAAGTTGTTTATTTCCAGTTTATCTTCCGTATATTTCGCTGTTTTCAACATAGTATCTGCAGAATGTTCGACCCTCTGTAAAAACCATCATCTTCTGAATCTTCTTGTGCCGTTTCCAGACGTCTTAATGCTGCTATATCACTCGAGGCCACATATTCCTGAAAATAAACAATTTTTCCTCAACAACAAGAGGAACGAAATCTACTGTAACATCAAGAATTAAGAATTTCGCATCTTAATTCAACCAAAATCGAACCAACAACCCACAATAAACTCACATCTTCAACTTTTTATAACCCAAGCTCATAACACCTCAACACAAAAACCTTATTCAAGCCCAAGAATCAAACTTTAGCATCAGCTAATCAAGAAACAACAATCTTACATTTTCAGTGGACCTAAAAACATAAATAAAGGTAACATAAACTAAAAAAAAAACTAACCTCGTGACCATAATCACCGCCTCGTTAAACAGGGGCCCCCTCGGAGAAGGTTTCCTTGATGAGTGCAACGAAAAAATCTCGACATTGGTTAAGTTCGACGGTCGGGGGATCAACAAGAGTCTGGAGTTCGGCCCGCCGCCGTGCAATCGCCGCAAGAAGATGAAACTTGCATAGAGATTTGGGAGAAATTACAGAAAAGAATGATTCACATGAACAAGATATTTGGTAATTGATTGCGAGTGTAATTGCGTCAGTTTCGGATATCTTATTGGCGGCGACTTTGGAACGGATGATAAGATCCGTAAAGATGAAAATATATTTTCACAAAGTCCTTAACTGATAAAAGATTTTATGAATCGTACTTTTAAAAATAAGTCTTATAACACACATAGATATATAAATTTCCCAGAAGAGAAAGGGGGCTGGCTGTTTAAAAATCTGTTGGGCCGGATTTGAAAGCTGNAGCAAGTAATGCGCCGTTTTTTTTCTATTCTTTTCAGTTGGGCTGGTTCGAGACATTAATCCGACTCACGGGCTCGGATTCGATACAAACGAATATTCTCGGGCCCAACTTCGATTCAAACGCACGATAAAATAAATCGAACAATATATATATTTACACAAATATATTAATACACATTATTCACATTTAATAATTAATCACAAAGATAAATTAGACATTTAGACAATTATCAATTAATCACATTTGGGCAAACAATAATATCACATAAATAATAATAATAAATCATAATAATAATAATAACATTAATAAAAATAATAATAATATTCTCAAATAATCCACAAATAAATGGGGCATTACAGTCTACCCTCCTTAAACGATTTCCGTCCCCGGAAATAAAAGAAAATCATATCAATAGGACAACTGACACAAGAGAAGCTCAAATCACTAAACTCGGATACTCCGTCCGAATCTTCCCACTCTACCAAGCCACACCGTACTAGCCATGGTTACCCTGCCGGACTTTGACGAGTACCTATTCTGGACTCTCCCTGTTGGATTCGTCAATCTAGTAGGTCACCGGTATCTCATCAAAGGTAAGGTTCTGCCCACATGCAGTTCGTCAAAGATCGCCTCGTGCCTAGAGTCGCGCACCTGTCCCCTCTCCACGAAGCACTGAACAGGTCGTGCACTCTTGAAAGCTCCGGTTATGGGGTCAACCGTCAGGCTAAGACGCCGACTTGGTCGAGAATCACGAATGGACCAACAAATGCAGCTGATACTTCCTCTCTTCCCAGAACTCGAGGCGTACAACGCCTCATTCCGTACTCAGAACCTCGTACGGTACCATCAAGATCGTCAATCATAGCCATTGCTATAAGCGCACTTTCTTATGGTAAGAAATTTCACACGATACACCCATCGAGTACACTAGACTCAAAACCAGTCTCTCAGGGTCTCGACAGCATGTCCTAAATGCATAACTATCTGGATTTCTACGCGGTGCCAAGTTCAGTCTCGTGCCCCGGTCACGTTGACAACTTACCCACGATCCCAACGAGATCCGTGCGTCTGTATCAAACGGGCCGCCACGGGATCTCATACAAAAGGCTAACAAAGCAACAATAACACCACAAACTCAACACTGATACCTACAGAAGCCATGGTTCTGCTAGATATCGGTGACAAAGCCGCATTCCCTGCCGACACGAGTAACATCTCGTATGCGGTATAGGAAGTATCGACTAGATATTCGAAAACAACTTCTATCGCAGAAACTGGCTCTCAAATAGGGATGCTCGACGATCCCATTATAACGATCTAAAAGGACATAGCCAGTCCGAGGTTTAACGCATTGTCACCCGAGAGATGTCACATACACTGGCGCTGCATAAGCGGGGCACTGGGACGTGTGCGTACATCTGTTCGGAGAACAATTGCAAGGTCAAGGTTTCGGCCGCACACTGGCTTGGGAAGCTCCTGCGTTCGGTGATGGTGGCTGCAGCTCTCGTGCAAGTCAACGATAGGCCCTGCAGTGCCTCACGTCTTTCAGCACAGGCTCGCGTGCTCGACCACCACTTCGCGTGACTACACCCAGTCAGCGTCGGCGTTTGGTTCGAGGTACATAAAAGAATTACTCTAATTCAAGGCTCACACTATCTGAGGTAGCCTGGAAGGAAAGGTTTTCACAAAATCGATCAACATTAGGATATAACAAAGACATCACATTTAAAGAAAGCGAATATCGGCATCCTCAGCTAGGAATCATCCCCAACTCAGTGGTCATTATCGAATAATGAAAAATGGTCAGCTCGCATGACTCTTCCGACTAACAGTGTCGGCCATCACGTCAGCTCTATGTCCGGTAGCTAATCATGCCGGCAGTCCTATACGAGCTCAATCTCTACTCTGCTTAGATTTTCACGTTTATGGATCTCATCACGAAGCCTCCTTGGTTGATTCGTCTCGATCGCGTCTCAAATATAGGTCATCAATGATAAAAATGAAACACGACCAATCGATCCGGGTATGAATGAAGTACACAGACTGAAATGGCATCGCCAAAATCGAAAGAAACGATATAAGACAAGCGGTAAAACGAAAGTACTTGTTTTAATTAATATATAAGGTTGCAATTTCTCAAATGAAGACTCTAAACAAATCAAATACTAGAGTTTTCAGAGGGTTGTCAAAAGTCAAAGAAATACAAGAGTCACTCTTGAAATTCCGAAGGAAGAAGAACGGAAGTTTCAAAGAATTACGATAAACACAACACGAAAACGAAAACGGCTCTGCATCAGGCTCGACTACCCTCCTTAAAAGATTTCACGCACACCACTGTGGTTCAAAGTTAAAACAAATCACGAAAGAAATTGATCGCCGTCTATATCGAAGCAAAGGTATTCTCAAGTTAACCTATGCCTCGACTTGGTAAACATTATGACAGGTAGGGCCCCAAAACACCGGGGAATGAAAATTTGAAAGAATTACTCAAGACACAAAAAGCAAAAGAAAACAGGCATATTGGATATCGAAGACATTCCGGACATGGTACCTGCGTTGTTGGCTGCCTCGTCATGGGTGATGGTGTAGACGCGGGCATGGCCTCCTGTCCCTTGCTGGTAAAGGCGGGGGATGTCTGGGCTGTTGCTGCTGCTGATGCTGATTCGGCCTTCGCGGTTCTGGGCAGTGACGGGAGTAATGACTTTTCCTCTGGCAGTTGAAGCAAGTTATGTCGACAGCTCGACACGTGTTGACCTCGTGGACTCGCCCGCATGCTCCAAAAATAGCGAAAATAAAAGACTCCAACTGTTGCGGTTTACACGAAAAACTGACTATGCAACCATCGGGTTTCCGGCGCAAATCTCAATAAAATAAAATGATAAACACGCGATTTCTGTTCCTCATGAAAGGCAACAGGCTGATCTATAATTTACAAGAAGGTTACAACAAGAGACAACGGGATTTCAAGGCTCAAAAACAGCAATGAAAACAGATCACATATAAGATCGAAAAACTAGAAAAACTGGACGCGTACTCACAAAACATTCACCACATCTTCCAGCACACAATTGATAATTGCTTGGTTCTTATTCGAGAGGAAACATAAGAGGCTGGACTTTAACTCGTCAGAAGAGTTCAAAGCCTATCAATCGATTTTAAGAGGTCAAATCAGCGACCAAATAGTCATCAATGAAAGGTTTTCAAAAAGAGGTTTTCCAAACCCAACTCTTAAAAGTACGACAATCACGGAATGAAGGTCCGGATGACAAGTCAAGGCTCGAATTTATTCGATAAACAACTCAACCATAAATAACAAAAGAAGAGGGTATCAATAACTCAACAACAGAGTTCTAATACCCACGAAGAATTTTGCGAGACAAACTAACGAGAAATACACGGATAATAACGAACAAATTATAACAAGGAAAAAATCAGCCATTAACCCGATTCTCACGAATCTACATGCACAAGTGGTCGGATCATCGACATGAAACCGACACTTAGACTCCACTCCCGGTTCCCATTGACCGGGTTCTACACGCTCCAATAGTTCTAGCCACAATAGTCACAGACTTCCGAATAATCCACACATCTGGGACTTTTTCGTTTGTCTGTTCCCTTTACTTAAGCCTTCTCTTTCGAGATAGCTTACGAATAATTCTCACTCGATGGTACTAAACAGAAACTCATAACGAGTGCACTGCTATAGACCAAACTTAACTCGATAACACCAACCCGAAAACTCATAACAAACATTTCTAAAGTTGCAAATTAACTCTATACCACTAGAGTTTAAGTCCGTATGAACGGAGGGTAAATTCCTAAGCCCCAATAAAAGAACAAACCATAATCACGTCATTCCCAATAATCAAAACAAATAAACTCATACCTTGAGCTGGTGTGGCGAGACGAAGCGAGTGGTCAATGGTCATTAAACACTTAATCACAAATGAACCAGTCTACAGAAAAGCAAGACTGGCTCTGATACCAAACTGTAACACCCCGTTTAGTTTTAAAGAATTTACCGAATTTATTTGATAAAAATCAGAGTTATATTTTTTTTTTTTTTAAAAAAATCCAAGTTAAAACATTTATCGAGAAACGGGCGCTACTTACTAACTACAGCAATTAAACACATCCAAACAATCAGTTCAATGAACCTACCCATGCTCGAGCTATCAAAATAACAATCCCAATAATCATAATATTAAAATCATTCCCAAACGTCTAGCATGAATCAAGGTTCAAACGAAACTCAAACATAGTTCGAAGACAAATAAATAAATAATCCAAAGTATTTGAAAGCAAATAAAATAAGTAACAAGTTCATGCGGAAGCATAAGATATCATCAAACAGTGACCACCATCTCGCTCGTCCTACGCCACTGCCTCCAGCTCGTCTCAACCTAAAACAAAGGAAGAGAGAAAACAACAAAGAAAATAGTGGGGGTGAGCATAACCAACAAGCTCACCATTATCGCACAGTATATCTCGCATAACATTTTAAACCATCATAACCATAGTATTCAGTATGCATAGAATCCAACAGTCTAACTCCCTACTTGGCCCTATCGCAACCTCCTATGTACATACAACAACCTTCCGATCACACACGGTAAAAGTAACTAGAAACCTTCCCATCATCAAATGGCTACGGGCCTGGGATCCTTTCCAGGAGACAGTAGAGATGTTTTTCCCATTCACGAATATCATACGGACCTGGGCGTCACCTCTCCGAATCTACGGGCCGATGACCTCTCACTGTTTATGCATTCCTCAAAGGCACTAACATACGGGACACTTAGACTAGGGTTCTCACGCATACATCATTTTTCAAAACAAAGCATTTATACGAAATATTAAGTGCGATAAATATGGAATACATCATAAATGTACCCACCTGATAGCAGCTACAGTTCAAATCACAAATCTCGAGACGAGGCGAGGTTCAACACCTCTCGACACCTACATTAAGTCCAGATACTAAAGTTGTAATATCCCATTCAGTAATTAATAAAAGTAATTATTTTAATCCTAAGTTTGAACTAATTACTTTTATTAATAATGCTCGTTCCTAGTTTCGAGCCCAGTTATTAAGTTATTCAGTTAAAAGTTCGACTTTAAGTTGAAAGTATTATCGGTTAAATTTTATTTAGTAATCGAGCCAGTTCAGTAATTAATTAATTCCGGTCTGTTTATTTTTATAAATGGATTTATAAGATGGGATTAATTATAATAAGATGACGAATAATAAAAATCGAGCATATTTTGATTACTCGTTCAAGATAAGTCGTGAACCGAACCAAGCATGTTCGGTTACGAGTTAAGATTATTACTGAGCAAATGATTCTCGAGCCTAGCTTAGTTGTGAGTATTGATCAAGTTATAAGGATTAATTAGACGTTAATGTTTATTGAATTGAAATAAGTTATTTAAGATGAAGTTCAAGTTCAAGTAACATTCCATTTTATTTAGCTAAATGGATGTAAATTTGGCCATTTCTAGTTTGAATGAGAAAGAAAAAGAATAATGAGTCGAGACAAGTTAGGTCTTGAATTCGGTTAAGTATCCATGAACATTTAAGTTATAAATGTTCAAAGAAGTGAGAAAATTTATTTAGACATTTTAGTCTATTTAAATTATTAGAGAGAAATATGAAATTTTTAGAATTTTCATTTTTTTTCGGTTTTCGATGTAGTCGGAATATATGTCCGATTTCAGTTCCGAGAAATAAATTAAATTATTTTCTCTCTATATTTTTAGTAGACTACAAGATAAGAAAAATTTTTCAGCATGAAAAGGAAAATGCCAAAAGAAAAGAAGGAAATTCGAAAATTGTAAGAATTTTCGATTTTACGGTAACTGTTCGTTTTAAGTCAGAATTTGGTTCCGTAAATTGGAGAATTTTCACTAAATCTCAAATTTAATCATTGAGATCAGATTAGGATCAGAAGGGGGGCCTTTCTAAGCATTGACTATGGGTTGGAGAAGTTTACAAGTTAAGAATACTATTTATTATCTATATTTATTTTTACAAGTTTGTATTGTTTATTTTGTTAATTTCTTCACTCAATTATGATGTCTTGCAAATTGTGCCTATAAATAGAGGCCCAAAAATAAGAGTTTATGCACTAAAGTTAAGTACCAAAAGTTATATAAGAGTGTAAGAGAGATAAATAGTAGAAACTTTGGCGAAGTGAAGAATTTGAAGTAAAAGAATCAAGTTTTTATTCTAGCAAGAAGGAGGTAATTTACTTATCTTAAAGTTACATGCTTAAGTTCATGTTTTGATAATAAGTTTACATGTTTATAAGTATGTATATCATGATATAGAAGTTAAGTTTATAATTGATTCTATGAATATAAAGAGTTAAAGTTGTTCAAGATCAATTATATGATATATGTACTTGATTTGATGAGATGTTGATAACGATATGAATAAGCTGGAAGAGTATGATTTAAATGAATGATTATTATGTAAAAGAGGAGTACATGAAAACAAGAATTAAGAGATTTGGAAAAATATAGCTTGAGTTATGAATTTTTAAAGATGAACATGTAAGATGAAGTTTATGTTCACTATTGAATTTAAATTCTCATAACTTGATGAATATGCATGATAAAATTATGAAATTTTGAGGACATGTCTAATTATAAGTTGAGATTATGACTGTTAAGTTTCATAATTTAAAGATGAGAAATGATTAAGTTATGAATATAAGAAGGCATATATCTAAAGATAAGTATATATGCAAGAATATTCATGAAATGTTTAAGTTGTTAAAATGAGATGACCATGAATAATTCTCATATAAGTGATGAGTAATTTGATGATGTTTTGGTGTAATATGTTGAGTATACAATTTTATAAAGATTGTATTATGTATGATATATTAACATCTTGATTAAATGTTATGAGTAAAAGATGATATGGCTTGAGATTATTTTCACTTTCAAGTTAATTAAGTGAAAATTTAGTATAAGCCAATTTGGAGATATGATGAATGATGAATTATGTATTTGATTGAGTAAGAGATCAAATTAAGTTAAGATAAGTTTATAAATCATGTTGATGATGTTGGTAAAAGTAAGCATATTTTAAGTTTAAATCAAGTATAATGTGAAATATAGTTATTTTCACATTTGAGTTATGACATGCTAAGTATAATACCATATTAATGTTTATGAAGACATGATTTATACAAGGTTAAGTAATTGACCTTAAGTACAAATAAAAAGAGAAGTTAAGTATAACCTTGAGAAAAAGCAAGTTTAATGAATTTCTATAAGATTTGGATAAGTTAAAAATTCTAAAAATCTCATTGAGTATATGAGCATAGTACTTAGTATATTTGTCTATATTTGATGTAACTTGCAGATACAGTACCAGTACAACACTTATCGTTTTTCAAATGATTTCAAAGACAAAAAGGTGGGGACCCTGAATGAGTATCACATTGAGTACGATATGGATGGGATGAGGAGACCATCAGTTGTCTCAGAGTATATCCTAAAGTTTAAGTTTATTACGCTTGGGATGAGGAGGCATTAATTTGTTCTCAGAGATTATATCCTAAGTTCTGATGGAGGCCGTTAGGTGCCTTAGAAATGTCCATCAGAGTGTGCACACGTATCCGATTAACTATCGGCAAGATAAGAGAAAAGTTTAAGTTACCGATCAGATATCGATTTATGATTATCCATATTCGTTACTCACCCCCATGAGTTTTAGTTTCAGGTAACAGGTCGAACAGGAGGTGTGAGTGGAGCAGTATTGGTGTGGATAGTGGACTCAGATGAAAAGACAAGCTTTGATACGGACATTTATAACATTCTGTATAATTAACCACGTTTTCAAGTATTTCCGCTATGCACATTAAGTATTGAACTTGCATTTTAATGAATTTCATATTTCAAGTTTTTACCATTATGAGAAATATGATTATGTATTTTAAATGCAAGTTTAAAGGAAATCTGTTTTAATTATGTATAAAGAAGTATTAGACAAAAGTTTAAAGATAAACGGATTTTCAAGATGATGAGTTTGAGTAGCATCCCGAGTTAGTCGCAAAAGATTTCGAAAGAATTAAGTATATTCGAAGTAAAAGTTGCGAAAAATTTACTCTAATAAGAGGGGTGTTACAAAAGTCAACACTTTAATCTAGACCTATGTAGCAAATTCACAAGTTGACTTAGTCGAACTCGGTTCGACCAAGTGGTTCGTGAAGTTCTGTGGATATGGGAACACTAGGACTTAGACTCGATCAAATCACATATTCGAGTTCACACAAAAGCAAGTGAAAGACAACAAACGAGCCACAAGCAAAACACATGGCACATTTGGTCATCAACACTTAACACATTTCAACATAGAAAAACAATTTCTCAAATTCACACTTGAGTTAGAAAGCATATCAAATCAATGAGTTAGGTTCTGAAACTCTAACATAAATTTCATATCCCAGTTCTAAGTAAGATCACCCAATTTCAGCTTCAAACTCCTTATGCATAATTTTATAAAATTCAAACAAGTTTTTCAATAAAAACGAGTTTAAATTAAAAGCACATGATAATGGACAATTCAGGCTATGAAATTTTTATCTAAAATATTAAAGCATATGAACAGTATCACATAAATTTTCCAGCCTTCAACACTCAGGATAACAATTTTATAAAACTAAAACCACAATCAGCCAAATATCACAATTATATTTGAACTGATCACAAATGAAGTCAAAAAATTCTAAACTTTTTACAGCATGCTAAACATCATATAATCAGCATCTCCACAAATTTTCAGAAGTTTTCAACTTCAGAACAATTTTATCATAATCAAAACAAATTCGAGCAGAATCACATAATAATTTGTTAACCATAACAAACATAGTTCAAAAATTCTTAAAATTTAACACCACATATAGGCATGACATAATCAAATTTCAGCTCATTTGGTTCACGAATGAATTTATTATGCATTTAACACTATTCTGATCAGATTTCATTATAATTATTAAAAATAGCTACAGGTTTCTAAACATCACGAAATTCTTACACAAGGCTAGTATTGAATAGAGAACATCACCCTAAAAATTTCAAGTCGTTTCGAGCAGCGAGCTATTTTTAAAAATTCAAATACCAAAACAGCGTCAATAAAGCTCGTCAATTTTGACAATTAATCCGAAACATGAAAATTCTCGTCCGAGGCCTTCTCATAAGACCAAGGGCTCGATATTGTTCCAATATCCACCGACTTACATGACTTTTGGGGTCTCGTTCGATTCTTGAGAAAATCGAAGAGGTCCCGAACACATATATGGCACATAAATTCATAACTCTTACATAAAATCACAACGAACACATTAATGCACAATATTCTCGTCTTGCAAATCACACATATAAGAAAATAACATAAACGATTAAACGAGACGAAATCAACTAGGTAACGTTCTCGGGAAAGAGCTCGGAAAATGGAACGAAAAAGACGAGGCGAACTCGCGGGCTAAAGCTCGACGGCAAGCGTCGTCTTGCGAGGGAAGGGCTGTTCGATCTTCGACAGGTTGTTCACGCTCACGAGATGCACGAGGGAGGTCGCTGGAATTTGTACGAGAGGGGGAGGAGGAACTCCCAGCGTCGGCCTCGGACGCGAGAAGGAAGGGCTGCTGCTTGTCCACCGTAGACAGAGGCCTGCTTGTTGGTCGCAGGCCGAGGACGTGGCTGGAAGCCGGACGTCTCAGCCATTGCCGAAGGGCGGGGCTGAACAGAACTCGGTCGCCCAGAGCTCAAAATCGTTGGGATAATGGTCGGGGCTCGCGAACAGACGCGGCCCGACGGGAATCGAGGCCCGAAGTTACTAGAGGCCTGGCCTCGTCAAACGTTTGTCCCGTTGCCGGTCGGAGGATGAAACTCGCCTTGTTGGGATCGCTCGACGTCGCTGGGTAAAGCTCGTTCTCGAAACTCGCTCAGTCGCTGCGATGGACGGAATCTTGCTGGCTCGGTTACTTTCTTGGCGAGGCGAACGGTGGCTGCAGGCTCGCTGATTGAACGCTGGTGGGACCGCTCTCTGTGAAGGCCGGAATGCGGGAACGCCGACGATAGGGAGGTCTCCTCGACTGGGTGCGGTTGAGAGAGAAAGAGAGGCTCATTTGCTGCTACTCGCCGGATACCTAGTGTTTCGCGCCGCCGGGATTTAGTTGCTAGTAGAGGGGCGATTTTTCGATCTGATAAAGTTGAAATAAGGATTGGGGATTTATCTCTAATTAGTTCTTGATTTGGAGATAAAGACTTAGGGACGGATTTTGAGCTTGAAAGTGGGTTTTGGTGTTTAAGTGAAAAAGCCCTAAAATCAATCCTTGCTAGACATTTTTCTATACAATTTATTACTGTTAATTTATACTGTTATACCACAAATACTTGAACCGCTCGACCACCCCTCTCGAATCGGATTGAGCTTCCTTGATCGTCGGTACCTGCAAAACACGCCGGAGGTGGTCCCGGCATGGACACTCCGAAGCTCAAGTCGGTGGTGGTGTTTCGGAGAGAAAATGACGGAGTAATAAGGTAATGTGTGTATATGTGTATTTTTTGTAAAATGAATGAACATGTGCCCTTTTATAGATGAGGTCATGTATAGGCCGAAGAGTTCTTGTCGGACCATAAGTCATCCTCATGTCTTCCTCTAAATCAGGTTAGATATTTCAAATCTTCAGAGTCCTCATCGCTACAAACTTCCTTGTTACTTGGTCAAAAAACCATCTCCAGGCTCTGGTCCCCTCGGCAAGACCCTCTTGTCGAGCTGCCTAGGTGCCGAGGTGCCTATGCGCCGAGCTACCTAGGTGCCTAAGCGCCAAGCCGCTTAGGTGATCACATCCACCGAGCTTACCTACCTTTAGTACTCCGCCTGGCTAGTCACCGCCTAGCTAGTCCTCGCCTTGCTCCCATCCGTCTAGCTTACCAACCTTTGGTACTCTGCCTAGCTAGTCCTCGCCTAGCTCCCATCCGTCTAGCTTACCAACCTTTGTATTTCGCCTTGCTAGTCCTCGCATAGCTCCCATCCGCCTAGCTTACCAACCTTTGGTAATCCGCCTAGCTAGTCCCCGCCTAGCTAGTCGAACCACACCTAAATGGTTGAACCACGCCTAGCTGGTTGAACCATGCCTAGCTGATTCGGCTACGCCTAGCTGGTTGAACCATGTCTATCTGTTTGAACTCCTCCTAGCTGACCCACCTTTGGTATGCCACCGAAGTGCTCATTCCAAGCTAGCCCCTTGCCTAGCTCTTATTCAGTGTAAATGTGACCAAACTCGGATCACGAGGTGGCGTATTGATGAGGATATGGCTAGGTTCCTGAAGAACGCCTCGAGTCAGGGTTATCACGCTCGCAAAAGGTTAGCTTGACGGACCGCGGAGGCCAATGCGATGGGCACCGCCGATAGCACGCGAGACAACGCGCGAGAGAGAGGCGCGCGCGAAAAGACCGCAATTGGACGCAACGCGTGCAGGCACGCGGGCGGTGCGACAACGCGCACGAGGACCACGCTAAGACGGGCCGCGCGCTGATGACGCGTGAAGGGATGACAAGCGCGAGGGCCGAGACCTTAGTCCTCGAGGAGTACGGCAAGGTGCGCGGCGAGGAGGCCATGACGGCTAGGGTTCCATTGCTTGGTGCACAAGACTAGATCTACTTAGGACTCCTTTATATATTTAATTTCCTTATTATTTATGATTTCTAGATTGTTTAGGACTTTAATTATTTATTGCTTTGTTTGTAGATTTAGATTGATTAGGAGTAGATTTATTTGAAGCCTATATAAAGGCGCATGCTCTTGTTATTTTGTATTATCGAATTATTAATGAAAAAACCGAACTTCTTGTTCAAATTCTTGTGTTAGATTTCTTTTAATTTTTTAACGCAAAACCCTTGTCACGAGAAAGGCATCCACTGCATTGCTCGAGCAAGACGAGTTTGGCAAGGACATATGTCCGAGTTGTCTCACCTATTACGAGAAGATAAGAAGATTAACCTCCGAGTCGTCCGCACCAACATCCGAGGATCGAAGCTCACGCCAAGTCCGAGGCGAGTCACGAGTTGGGAACGCGCGATTATTCATCATTGGTGCTTTCATTGAGAGAACCAATCGCGTGTTCTTTGTTCCATCTTTTTGATTTCATTTTTGAGTCTTAAAAAAATAAAAAATGGCTAAAGAAACTAAGGAAAAGCTTGTGGATTTGGTGGCGAAGATGACGATCCTAGGCGAAGGATTGGAAGCCACCAACATGTCCATGACAAACAACCTCACGCATCTTGAGAGTTCATTCCAAAATTCACAACAAGCCATGATGGAGGCCATGAACCAGTGGATCAACGAGGTCCTGCGCTTGGTGCGGCAACCACCACTGCGAGGACGAGCCCGGTCACGATCGCGGGAGTACGAGCGCGAGAGGGCGGAGTATGAGGAATGGGAGGATGACTTCGACTGTTGATCTCAAGCCTCGACCAACGTGGAGAGGCATAGGGTTGAGAAGCCGAGGATGGTGCTGTCAACCTTCAATGGATCTGATCCCGACGTATGGCTGAACCGAGTTGTGCAATATTTCAATCTCAATGAGATCGCTCGGGCCGAATGGGTTAGGTATGCGACTTATTATCTTGACGGCGAGGCTAATGTTTGGTGGCAGTAGCTCTCGACTATCTATCAAAACCGAGATGAACAAATTAGATGGGATAATTTTGAGAAGGAGCTAATCATGAGATTTGGCGCTTCGGACTACCACAATTACGATGAGGCTCTCGCGCACATCAAGCAGACGGGGAGCCTGCGCGACTACCAACGGGAGTTCGAGCGCATCGCATGTCGCGTACGCGGATGGCCTGAGGGAGCATTGGTCGGGGCGTTCATAGGGAGATTGAAGTTCGATCTGGCCGCGGAGGTTCGGTTAGAGAGGCCCGCGATGATGCGTGAAGCAATGGAGGTCGCGCGTCAGCGAGACGATCATCTGGCCGCAACGCACAGAGTCGGGCGTAACGATGTCTGCTTCAACGAGCAGCGACGAGCGACACCCACCGAGCCTATTCCCAACCGAGGCATGAGCAGCGGGCCACCTAATAATTTCAGGCCGCGACCACCGGTGGTGAGAAACTTGTCTTTCGAGGAGATGTGAAGGAGGCGAGAGAAGGTGTTGTGCTTCAAGTGTGAGGAGAAATTCACGCCGGGCCATAGTTGCAAACAGACCTACTTAATATAAGTGGTCGACTCCGAGGACGACGAGCGCGCAGCAGACGAGGTCGAGCCTGAGGAAGCCGACCCCGACGCGCACAAAGATGAGGCGGAGATCTCGGTCCATGCCATGGCCGGAACGAGAGAACCGAGGACTATGCGCCTATCTGCGAGGATTTGTGATCGACACATCACGGTGCTCGTAGACAACGGATCATCGCATAATTTCATTAACACGACGTTGTCGCAAAAGTTAAATTTCCCGTGACCAAGATTGAACCCTTCGACGTACGGGTTGCCAATGGGGAGCGTCTGCGATGCTGTGAGGCGTACAAAGGTGTGCCGATCAAACTACAAGGCGTGGCGGTGAAGGCCGATATATATGCATTACCCTTAGTTAGGCCTGATGTAGTTCTTGGGGTCCAATGGCTAGAGGGACTCGAGGATGTGACCACTGATTACCGCGAAGGAGTTATGAAGTTTGACATGGGAAAGCGACGCGTGATCCTGAAGATTGGAGTGTTGGGATCTGTGAGGATCTCGTTATGTACAAATCACGAATTCAATAGCAAACGTAAACCTATGCGCAGCGGATCTAAAAGTTTGACGTAGAGAACTTACGGCTTAAAATTTATGTAGATCTGGCTGACCACGAACAGTTGACCGCAATTGATTGACCGCAAATCACGTCTTTGGTTGCACGAAAAAGATCAGATCAAAATCGGATCAAACAGATGCAAACAGATCAAAACGAGTTTTTGCAGTCAGGCTCCTTCCGGCGGCGCGTGAGGGCGCGTACGGTGTTGGAATCCGGCGACGTCGGCGGCGATGGACAGCTCTCGTCGAGACGGTCGTCTGGGTATACCGTACGTCTCAATCGAACTTCCGGTTAGTTATGTAGGTCAAAATATATTTCTTCTACTGTATTACTCAATACACCCTTCTTCAACTTGTACTAGTGGAGCAACAAGAAGAAGATAAAGCTCGAATGAGATCTAGAGAGAGAGGCGTGTTTCACGTGAGAATAGGATTGGGGTTCTCTTCTCATGAGCTTAATGATGTATATATAGAGCTACAGTAGGGACCCTAAGGAGATTAGGAAAAGGACTCCTTAATTAATTAGACTAACTGTGGGCCAAGCCCACTCCTCTAATTAATTAAATAATATTAATGGACCACCAACATTATATTATTGCACTCCCTCTTCCTAGCCCAAATTACATTTGAGACTCCAATAATAATTACTCGATTTACCTCCCCACGTTTAAGATATAATGTCCATTAATTAATTCGATTACTGACAATCAAGAATTAATTAATTTATTATTATTTCACCGAAGCTAGCGCTCGTTCATCACATTCTTATTATGCCGAAACTTAATCCACCTGCAGGGTTTAGCATAACAATCCTTTATGAACTCACTCCGGGGACATCATCAAACTGATGCACATGGTGACCGTAAATATCCTAACAACACATCCTATACATAATAATATTACCCAAAACAGTAGGAATATTAATCCAGCGAACTGAACCTCACCCATGTGAATCAAAGTAATATATATTATATATATCGGTCTGTTTAATATCTTACGGGTTAAGAGAACGCAGTAATTAACCGAGGCCTAGTTCATTTACGACGATCAGTATAAAATGAACTTCTCCTCTCTGGGATCCTGTTCAATACATAAATGTACTAGTGCAACTAATCAGTCAAGACAAACTGTACAGTTGACACTACAACCGTTCGGATGGAGTGTTCATGTCCATCTAGATTGCGAACAACTATTCTTATTCGCAAGTAACTGATAGAGTGATCTTCGGTTCGCCCGATGACGACCCACTCCATCTAAGTGCAGAACAACAGAATGTAGAACTTGTTTAATCTAACATGATTCTCATTCATAAAGGGTAAATGTGTAATAACATGCAAAGCCAAGCTTTCAGTATATAACACTAACAATCTCCCACTTATACTTAAAGTTTTCGCTTTTACAGTATAGTCCTATCAATCCGTTATTCTAAAAGACCTATGTCGATCCTATCGCCATGCATCCTCTGATGCAATCTTGGCAACATCAACGTCTCCTCTACCAACGATATCCCGAATCAGATGGTATTTTCGCTCTATGTGTTTGCTTGCCCTGTGGGCTCGAGGTTCTTTTGAGTTCGCTACTGCTCCACTGTTATCACAGTACACGGTGATACCACGTGGCAAGCTCGGTATAACCTTTAAGTCCACTAAGAAGTTCCTGAGCCAAATTGCCTCTTTCGCTGCCTCTGAGGCTGCTATGTACTCGGCTTCCATGGTGGAGTCTGCCACGCATTTCTGCTTAGCACTCCTCTATGAAATGGCTCTACTTCCCAAGGTAAACACATAACCTGAGGTTGACTTACTTTCATCCTTATCTGACTGGAAATCGGAATCACTGTAACCCAGAGGTAACAAGATGTCTGCACGGTAAACTAGCATGTACTCCTTAGTCCTTCTCAGGTACTTGAGTATATGCTTCACCGCAGACCAATGTTCCCGTCCTGGATTACTTTGATATCTAGCTACCATGCCAACGGCGTAGCTAATATCCGGCCTTGTGCATAGCATTGCATACATGAGACTTCCTACTGCCAAAGCATAAGGAACTGTCTTCATCTCCTCTATCTCCTTAGACGTCTTTCGGAGACATCTCCTTAGATAGAGGTATTCCATGTATGAAAGGTAACATACCTTTCTTGGAATCCTGCATCCTGAATCTGGCCAAGACAGTATCTATGTATGAAGA